CTGATTGGTGTTCTTGCTTTGCGCTTCTTTCGTTTTGACGTTGCGTTTTTATACACACATAAACCAAAAGGAACGACAGATTTCTCATAATGTAGTGCAGTAAAAAGTGAGATATCTGACTTTGAAATGTAGTGGAGTAAAAAGTGAGATATCTGACTTTGAAATGTAGTGGAGTGAAAGTAAAAAGTCACCTAAAATGGAAAAACTTCAGTACAGATACACAAAAAAACAACTTCGGTACAGAAACGAGTTACATTTACTTAGTTACTGTCCACCACTGGCTATAAGCGTCCACTGCTTGTTAGCTATATTAGCCTCCAGTGCTGAAGCTAAAGAAGCTAAACTACAGACGCCAAACGTGTTGATGAGCTGATCAGCTGTAGGTGGGGGCGACTGTGTTTTTGGGAAACTGTAGAGTGAAGTGTGTTTAGTTTTAGCTGAACTGGCGCTTTAATGTTCAGAGCAGCTGCAGAGTCACTCCAGCAGCCCGTAGGCGTTTATCAGGCCGTGATAAAGGAAGTGAGGCTGCTCTGCTGGGGCTGGTAGGCAGTGTATAGAGTTTTACTTCTTCACGTTTGTTTTCTGTCTCTGAGTCAGCGCTCTCCAGGACAGACTCTGACTCTGAATTCTTTCATCAGTTCCTCCGGAGAAGCCGCAGGACCTGAGCTGCACGACGAGGGACCTGAAGATTATCACCTGCGAATGGAGGCGTGGCCGACAGCTGGACGTGGCTCACCCTCTCCGCCGCTGCCAATACTCGCTGCGCGTCCAGTCAGTCTGATTTCATTCCAACTCACTGTGCACTGTGCACACTGCACTGTCAGAAACTGACTCTAGATCAGTAAAGATCAGTCAATTCTACCTCATTAGAAACTGACTGCATCAGTCAGTTCTGACTTAAGTTCAATAGATTCTTTAGAAACTGACTCTAGATCAGTAAGGATCAGTAAACTGACCCTTGGTCAGTAAGGATCAGTAAACTGACTCTAGATCAGTAAGGATCAGTAAACTGACTCTAGGTCAGTATAGTTTACCTTATTACCTTATGGGGCAGTCGTGGGCTGGATGTTAGGGAACCAGTCCTGTGACCAGAAGGTCGCCGGTTTGATCTCCTCAGCTGATGGTCCATGATTAAAGTGCCCTTGAGCAAGACACCTAACCCCCAATTGCTCTCCGGGTGCTGCATAGGGCTGCCCACCACTCGGGGCAAGTGTGCTCACTGCCCCCTAGTGTGTGTGTGTGTTCGCTAGTGTGCATGTATGTGGGTGTATCACTGCACAGATGGGTTAAATGTGGAGGTCTAATTCCACAGTGTGCAAACACAGTTGGCTGATGGTTCTGAATTCAATTCAAATATTAGAAACCGACTCTAGATCAGTAAAGATGAGTAAGCTGACTCTAGATAAGTATAGTTTACCTTATTAGAAACCGACTCTAAATCAGTAAGGATCAGTAAGCTGACTCTAGATCAGTATAGTTTACCTTATTAGAAACCGACTCTAGATCAGTAAGGATCAGTAAGCTGACTCTAGATCCGTATAGTTTACCTTATTAGAAACCGACTCTAGATCAGTAAGGATCAGTAAGCTGACTCTAGATCCATATAGCTTATTAGAAACTGTTCTGGATCTGCAGCTGACTCTAGAACAGACTGTAATATAATTTCCTTTATTCACAGTAATCATAAATAAACAACTCTCCCTCCCAGCAGTGTAGTTTGTTAGCAGTGAGCTGTAGTTGCCAAGCAGCATATGGTTATCGCTGTAGCCTGACTGCAGAAGAGCTGGTGGGATCTGTGGTGTCGTCTCCTATCGTCAGGTTTGATCTGCTGAGGTGTCAGTGGGTTCCTCCAGCTGAAGAGCACAGTGTGCCTGTGGAAGACTCACTCGCTCACTCAGAGGAACACGATGTTCCTGACGTGTCTCGGTCTGAGTCTCTGAGTCTCTTTCTCCAGCGTTGGTGGACAGGTGATCCTCACCTGTATGGGGGGATCCACTGATTCAAGATCTCCACATAATTAAATGGTTGAGATGTAAACAGAGCCATCCAGAGAGGTTCAGAGTGGTTTGGTGTGAAACGCTCTGTTCTAGATAAACTTACCGAGTCAGAACTGTTCACAGTGGTGGTGATAGGAACCAGACGTCCCCCTCTAAAAGCTCCTCACAGAAAGTTCCTACATGAAATGGTTATGAATTCACTGCCTGATGACTGAGACACTGTTTTATGATAGTTTTGAGAAGATTTTGGCACAAACTTCACAGTATACACTCTTAAAAATGGTTCAAGGGTTCTTTAGTAAGAAAAATGGAAAAATGAACACTCAAAGAACCTTTTCCATGATTAAATCGTTCTTTGTATCATTAAAGCGTTCTTCAGATTGATGGAGAACGTGTTTTATATAGTTCTGTTTAGAACCTTTCTGAAAACGGTTCTATATAGCACCAAAAGGGTTCTTCTATTGTTACAGGTAATGTCTATATCTGTGTTGTAGTCATGGCGACCCCTGGTTCCTATCACCACCACTGTAAAGACATCTGACCCATTTCACACCAAACTCTGAATCTCTCTGATTACACCTCACACTCTGGATTATGGGGGAACGTTGGGGACACTGGTGGAATCGTTATTGTCATGACTGTTATGATTATGATTAATGTAACGACTCTCCTGGTTCTGCTGTAGAGACTCAGGTGAAGTCCAGTGTGCAGAGGAGTCCTGTGAATTTGCCGCTCTGCCGGGCCGCGGCTTCTACAACATCAGCGTCGTGGTGAGGAACGGTCTGGGGGAGGAGAGCCAGAGTTACGCCTTCAACATCTCACACAGGGGTACAGCAGCCGTTATTCACCTCCGTACTCCCTGATTATACAGACTACAGACACATTATAACAGAACTGCTGAGGCAACACTGGCCTTCAGTGACTTAGTGTGTGTTTGTCTTCACGGCCACCTGCACTGGAAAGCATTCTGCAGCGCACTGACTCCCTCAAACTATGAATGATTCAGTATCTACTAAAAATGACTCAGGTTCTACGATGAATGATTCTGGTTTATTTAGAAATAAACCAGTATCTGCTATGAAAGATTCAGGATCTACTATGAAAGATTTAGTATCTAAAATGAATGATTCAGTATCTACTATGAATTATTGGGTATCTACTATGAAAGATTGAGGCTACGTTCACACAGCAGGTAAAAGTGGCCCAAATCCGATTTTCTCACCAAATCCGATGTTTTTGTTTGTCTGTTCAGCTTATCTTTTAAATGTGATCTGTATGCGACATCAGTCTGAACAGATCAGCTCCTAAACTGAGCCTCATGCGCAAAAGAACAGAGCTTCACATGGCAGCTCATCCAGAGGTAAACAGTCATGACGGCCAGCGAACGCCAGTCGCTCCCGCAGCTTTCAGCTTCGTCTTCGCCAACATCACATGAGCGAGTATAAAGATCCAGTGGTTGACAGCTGGACTCATCACCTACAGTGTGTTTGAGTTCACTGTAAAAGGGCGCGTTATTCGGCCACTTCTTTGGTTCGAGTCCTCGGATTCTGTAAACTGTTCTCTGACGCTGCAGCCTCGGGCTCCTCCGGCTGCGCTCGGCCGTTCTGTTTGAACACGGAGCAGTTTGATGAGTCTCTTCTAATGTTTTGGTACAGAAACATCAGACTAAATGTTTATGAGTCTCAGCAGCGCGAAATGATGACAAATGTCGAGTTGGACTGACGTATAAGTCGCATGAATTCTGATCTGGCTGTTCAGACTGCCACACTGCCGCAGATGGGATACGTATCGGATTTCAGTGCCACATATGAAAGCATCTCAAATCAGAATTGAAAATGTCAGATTCAGTGTGTTTTTTGCTGTTCACACTGACACACAGACACACATCTGTGTCACATTTGAGGAAAAAGATCGGATTTGGGCCACTATTACCTGCTGTGTAAACGTAGCCTTACTGTCTAATATAAATGATTAAATTTCTACTATGAATGATTCAGTATCTACTATTAATCATTCAGTAACTGCTCTGAATGATTCAGTATGTACTATGAATGATTCAGTATCTACTATTAATCATTCAGTAACTGCTCTGAATGATTCAGTATGTGCTATGAATGATTCAGTATCTACTACGAAAGATTTAGTGTCTAATAGAAATGATTCAATTTCTACTATTAATGATTCAGTGTCTGCTATGAATGATTCAGTATCCAGTGTGAATGATTCAGTATCTGCTATTAATGATTCAGTGTCTGCTATGAATGATTCAGTATCCAGTGTGAATGATTCAGTGTCTATTTTGAACCTGAAGTGTAAATTGTCATTAGAACGTCAGCTCAGTGTTCAGTAATATCTGATTATAGATGGTTTACAACTGTTGTTCTAGATTGTGCCAGATTGTTCTAGATTGTTGTGTTTGTGTGTGTTCTACAGTGTTTCCTGTTCCTCAGTATGTGCTCGTGTCTCCGGGGGCAACAGATGTGGAGGTGTCCTGGGATTTAAAAGGGAATTTTACTGGCCTGCACTTTATCTGCCAAATCACACTGGAGCCGACAGGAAAAACAACCGTGAGCGGCTAAACTCTCAGCTCTGATTCACAACACCGTCACTACCTAATCTACTAACTGAAAATAGCTTACACTGCACACTGAAAATAGCTTACACTGCACACTGAAAATAGCTTACACTGCACACTGAAAATAGCTAACACTGCACACTGAAAATAGCTTACACTGCACACTGAAAATAGCTAACACTGCACACTGATAATAGCTTACACTGCACACTGAAAATAGCTAACACTGCACACTGAAAATAGCTTACACTGCACACTGAAAATAGCTTACACTGCACACTGAAAATAGCTAACACTGCACACTGAAAATAGCCTACACTGCACACTGAAAATAGCCTACACTGCACACTGAAAATAGCTTACACTGCATACTGAAAATAGCTAACACTGCACACTGAAAATAGCTTACACTGCACACTGAAAATAGCTTACACTGCACACTGAAAATAGCTAACACTGCACACTGAAAATAGCTAACACTAGCTAACACTGCACACTGAAAATAGCTAACACTGCACACTGAAAATAGCTTACACTGCACACTGAAAATAGCTTACACTGCACACTGAAAATAGCTAACACTGCACACTGAAAATAGCTAACACTAGCTAACACTGCACACTGAAAATAGCTAACACTGCACACTGAAAATAGCTTACACTGCACACTGAAAATAGCTTACACTGCACACTGAAAATAGCTGACACTAGCTAACACTGCACACTGAAAATAGCTAACACTGCACACTGAAAATAGCTAACACTAGCTAACACTGCACACTGAAAATAGCTAACACTGCACACTGAAAATAGCTAACACTAGCTTACACTGCACACTGAAAATAGCTAACACTAGCTAACACTGCACACTGAAAATAGCTAACACTAGCTAACACTGCACACTGAAAATAGCTTACACTGCACACTGAAAATAGCTTACACTAGCTAACACTGTACACTGAAAATAGCTAACACTAGCTAACACTGCTAACTGAAAATAGCTAACACTAGCTAACAGTGCACACTGAAAATAGCTAACACTAGCTAACACTGCACACTGAAAATAGCTAACACTAGCTAACATTGCTGACTGAAAATAGCTAATGCTGCTAACTGACAATAGCTAACGCTGGTAACTGACAATAGCTAACGCTATTATCTGAAAATAGCTAAGGCTGCTAACTGAAAATAGCTAACGCTGCTAACTGAAAATAGCTAAGGCTGCTAACTGAAAATAGCTAAGGCTGCTAACTGAAAATAGCTAATGCTGTTGAAAATTGAAAATAACTGAGATTAGCCAACCATGCTAAGTGAAAATAGCTAACAGCTAAATGATAAATAAACACAGCTACTTTGAGAAACTGAAAACAACTAAACCAGCTAACTCTGTCATCTGAAAACAGCTAACACTCCCGAACCCCACGTGTGACTAGCCAACACTTAGCAACTCCGCTAAGTGAAACTATTTAAAACTAGCTAACTCTGCTAACTCTCCCACTGGTGTGTTGCTGTTGCGCATGAGTGGCTGGAGAGTAAAAGACACACAGCGCCACCTGGTGTACAGAAGCAACAGCTGTTCAGTGTTCAAGCCTTTGATGCTATGATTGGATGAGGAACAGGAAAGCATAATCGATACCAGTATGAAGTGTTTGATGTTGGGCTTTGTTGTTTGTACAGGAGTGGCAGTTTTTCGTATCCGACCCTGAACAGCGTCTCCGTGCGACTGTGCAGCCACTGCAGCCGAGCTCTCAGTACTCCACCAGGGTGCGCTGTGCACTACAGGGCAACGACTGGGGATCATGGAGCCCCACCGACACCTTCAGCACAGGTCAGCTTTCGGAACACATTAGCCTCTTTGTGCAGCGCGCCCTAGTGGCCGTTCTGGCAGGAGAACAGAAACGGACTCTGGTGTTATTAATTACTGTAATGACATAAAATATTATCTGCTATCAGGTGAGACTCAGTTGTCTCTCTGTGTGACTGTGTTGAGCTGCTAGTGAGCAATGAGCACATTTGTACTGCTGACACAAGATTTTAACACAACGAAAACACCGTCATAAGCTCTGACTCAGTTAGCATCTGACTAAGCAGCGATTATCTCTGTCATCCTCAGAGCCGCTGGTGACGCTGGATATCTGGACCAGCATCAGAGACCAAGTTCACGATCGCAGCCTCATCGTTCTGTGGAAAACTGTAGGTGTCAAACTTCTGGATTCAACACCAGATAAGAGTGGAGGAACTAAGAGTGTCAGTGAAACTGTGAAAATGTTGTGTTTACTTAAGAATGTTGTCAGGCGGTTCCACGCAAAGTGTGGAGAAGCTTCTAATCTACATGATCGAATAATATGAAGAGTTCATATGCAAAAAACGATAAACGGCATCCTTTAAAATGGAGCTGAGTCACTACAGCCGTTATTGTTCACCGTCGAGGCGTCACACGTTCACGTTTTACAGCCGAAACGGTCAAACGCCAGCGCTGTTCTCCAGCAGAACCCCATAAATCTGTTCAGCCAGTGCAGGTCAGGTCAGATGACACAGCACTGCCGCCAACTGATTGAGGCAGAATCTCAAACGACTCCTTCTCCCTACATAGAGCAGCACACAGGTCTTAAACTAACGGCTACTGATCTAAACAGAGCTCAGAGTCTGACAGAGAACCACCCTGGACTCAATTCATACTGGATGAAGACCAATATTTGGGTGGAAAAGACTAAATTTCATGACTCATAGTGACTCTATAGGGAGCAGTGAGGCGTCTGAGACTCAGCCTGAGGATTTTCAGAGCTCTGATCTTATAGATGATTAATATTGATCATTAACGGCTGTTTGTGTTCAGTTTTCAGATCTTTACCTGCTTGTTTTATGGTAAAAATGCTAAATATTGACCTTAAAAGATTAGAAAGTTTAATTTTGTACGTTTGATTTTACCTGGAATGCATCAAAAACATGATTTATGAAAATTAAAATGGAGATATGTGTTTTTTGCAATTGAGCTCTTCATATGTGCTTAATAAGTTACATAGAACTACTTGATGTAACTTTACTCGACGCACTGGGACGACTGTTTTTATGATTGTTAATAAGTGCTATAGATGCTTTATAACCATTATCTGTGTAAAAGGCTCTAAACAGAGTAGTGACACTTGTGTTATAACAAGTTTACAAGCCATCAAAGCATTAATTATGGTAGATTATTACAGCGTTAGGATGCATTATTAGCATTTATAAGTATGCTTACTTATAAGTTACAAAGAGTTATAACCAAATTTAGAACTATTTAAATTTCAATACATATAATACATATAAAATTAAAATTTTTGAAAATGTTGAATTTTTTTAAGATTATAAAGTGAGAATTCTGTCTTAAATGAGTTTTCTTCTTTCATACAAAACTTATGTTCTCTCCAAAAAGCTCCTTTTATTGATTTTAAGAAGTTTTAGATGAGTGTCTAATTAGCTCACGAAAATCAGACAAATCTAATCTGTTCATCTTTGCATAAAAATCATCTTTAAAAGATAAAGATTTATTCTTTTGCGTCTTCCAAGCTACACTGTGGGTGTTCATCACCTGAAGGCTGAGGTCAGTGATGAGCTCTGGGTCAGTGTTGACGTTAAGCTTGTTCCTCTCAGTTTAACAGCGGTTCAGACTCTAATATCGAGGCATTCGAGGTGTGCGTGGTGCAGGACTCGACTCGGAGCAGCGCGTGTGTGAAGGTGACGGAGATGAAGGTGAACTTCACGGTGGCCTTTGGACAGTGTAACGTGTCGGTGCGAGCGGTCACCCTCAGAGGATCTTCCATAACGTCATATATGAGCGTGCAACCAGGTGAGCAATTAACACCCCTTCCTGTTAAACATGCTGACTGACTGCACTGCAGGACCCACTGCAGGACCCACTCATAGGGCTGAACGATACGGGCAAAATATCTAATTGACCAGTGTTGTGGCTGTGATTTGAATCCTGACTGTTTTCTGTAAATTGAGGTTCAGGCCTTTTTTGGCCGATAAGCCCAAGTTTTTTTGACTTGAGGCTGAAAGCAGCATTCCAGACTTCCAGATAGCTGTTGTTGTGATGTCACAGCACTAGGGTGCCTCTGATTGGTCTATCTCATCTACAAGCAGCTCCGTGTTATTGGGCTAAACTTCCCAAGTTAAAAATGTTTAAGACAACATTGTTGGTGTTGTAGGTCATGATACAAAATGCAGGTCTTGCGATTTGAGAATTGCACTCTTTTAAATTGCAATTTCGATGTAAAAATGATTAATCGTTCAGCTCTACTCATTTCACCGCCGTGTGTTGTTTCTGAAGCATTTTAAATTCATACTTCACTCACATTCTGTATATATATATATATATATTTGAATGCAAAAGTTTGGGCACACACATTTTTTAAATTTTTTATGTGAAAAGAAGTTAACGCTTCTTAAATACGACAAATAATTATTAGTATTATTAAATTATTATTTATTTGCTTAATTAAAGATTTTGGGGAAAAAAGTCAAACACACAAGGTGGCATGTGAATAAGGGTGTTTGGGCACCCTTTCAGTCAGTACTTATTAAGACCCACCTTTGGCTACTTCCAGATGTTTCTTGTAGACAGCTGATAGTCTTTCTATTCTTAATAAGGAACTTCTTTCCTTTCTTCTTTCTTTTTTGCTGGCATAAACCTTCTAGTTCTGGAATATTTAGGTCATTTTGCATGCACAGCATGTCTGAGACCTGACCACAGATCTTCAGTATATGGTATTCATTTCTGGGGATGGTGAAGGCCATTACAAAACCTAAACCTTTCGTTTCTTTAGGTAGTTCAAGGTTAATTTTGATATGATTTGGATCTCTGTCTTGTAAAATTTTGTATCTGTTACTTCTTGTGGGACATTAGCTACCAAAATTTGTTGATATTTAGTAGAATCCATTCAATCCTCACAACGTTTCCTGAGCCACTCACAACCCCAAAGCATAACAGATCCACCTCCATGCTTAACAGTTGGCATGGTGTTCCTTTCATCAAATGCTACTCCTTTTTTCTCCAAGCACACCTTTGGTGAATGTGAACAAAGACTTCCATTTTTACTCAGTCGGTCCACAGAGGTTGATTTCAAAATGTCTCTGGCGTATCTAGATGCTGTCTGCATACTTCAAACATTGACGTTTGTGATGACATCCCAGTTAAGGTTTCCTTCCGATGACTCTGGGTGTAACTTGCTTTGTACAAGTCATTATCTTTCAGATTCTCAGCCTCTTAGAGGAGCTTATGGCTGTTGAATTTAAGAACAACACCCAGTGAAACCATTGATCTGACTTGGATTAAGGCCCAATGAGTCAAATGAGCTCTGAGACCCCTCAAAAAACACTCATGGAGAAATCAAATGGGTGTCCAAACTTATGCACATGTCACATTTTATCATTTTTTTTTCCAATGTGTCAAATTCAGCAAATAAACAGTGACTGTAAAATCTGTAGAATACTAATGTATAGATATATATGTACAGCATGTATGTACAGCACTGTGTAGTCTGTAACAGGATGGGTCATTACAGAACCCATGCTGAAGGAGAAGAGGATTGTGGGTAACTCGGAGGGTTTCCTGCTGTCCTGGTCCACGCTCTCCTCTGCCACATGCGGCTACGCTGTGGAGTGGTACATGACGGGTAATGCCGTGGCATGTGATCTGCGGTGGAGGAAGGTCTCAGCCAATCAGACGTCACTATCCCTCAGTGCAGGTACACAAGCAGTTCGACGCCAGGTGACTCAGGTGTTCATCTATATATTCCATCAACGTTATTGAAGAAAAATCCACAGCTGCATTTTATTACTGCTGTAAAAACAGCTTCATTCACGGTTATTAAGGTTCAAACCTGCTGATTCAGCCCACGATTCTTCACCCTGGGTGAAACCTGAGCAGCTTGTCTGTTGTTGTTTTCGCAGAGGGCTTCAGGAAGGGCCACAGATACACCTTCAAAATCTTCAGCTGCCAGACGGAAGGTCACCGACTTTACGAGAAGCGCACTGGCTATCTGGAGGAACAGGGTGAGCTCGCACGCTAACTGCTTTTCCTGTGCAGTAACGTTGCTCAACACACAGACTGCGGCTGAAGAAAACAGGGGTGTTTGCGTAGCAGGTGTTTTGCAATAGATGTTTGTGTTAGAAATGTTCAATTTTACATATTGAGCAGTGAAGCTGTCAGAGAAATGAAAACGTATGTAGCGTTTATGCTAGTACTTCTGCAGCACAGTTCATGATGCTCTCAGTGTTGCACAGCTAGTCATTAAGAAAAGTAGTCCAGTGGTCGTCATTCCGTAGTCGGCATCGGGCAACGATAGCAATTTACAAAAATTGCTGATGTGATAAACCTGATATATTTTGTCGCATTGACTGAATTACGACGCCATTAAGGAACCAAAACATGAATATTGCTACCAGTAAGCTGACACTGACCTCATAAGACTGACCTCACCAGAATACCCTGAACAGACCAGCAGGCTCTGTCCAGTGAGGTAGCTCTGTTACCATAGGAATTTAGGGGTGGGGTTTAGAGGGGCCGTACCCTTATTCACAGTGCAATCCAGCACCAAAAGTCTTCAGTCTTCAGTTTTCCCTGACGAGTTCTGTCATTACGAGATCACGTCAGATCCCGCAAGACTACACAGTACACTGTTTGTTAATTGTTATCGCTGCAATATGCACATGGGTGTATGGGTGCCTCAAGGCAGTCACGACAAATTATTTCCATGAAAATGATGTGCAAATCTTTCTGATGAATTCACCAGTGTGATATAATCACAGTACAGTAGTCTCTCTAACGGTTATCTGCAGCATGAAGCCTGTCGGGACTCAGCAGTGCGTGATGCTGTATCTGTGGTCTCTCTGTGTGTAGAACCGCTAAGCGCCCCGAAGCTGCTCTACCCTCCGAGCATCTTCTGGTCTTCATTATTACTGCAGTGGAGCTTCGACGAGGAGGATTCAAAACATCCCGGATTCATCACAGGATACAGACTGACCATACAGGAGCATGCAGGCTGGACCTACAGTAACAGTCAATGTTTTTAATACAGACTGAACCCACAGTAACATAAGAGTCCAATACAGATTGGACCTACAGTAACGTCAGAGTCTAATGCAGACTGGACCTACAGTAATATCAGTGTCTAATACAGACTGGACCTACAGTAACAGTCAGTATTCAGACTGGACCTACAGTAAAAGTGTCTTTAATACAGACTTGGACCTACAGTAACAGTGTCTTTAATACAGACTGGACCTACAGTAACAGTTAGTGTGTAATACAGACTGGACCTACATTAAGTCGGTATTCAGACTGGACCAACAGTAACGGTCAGTATACAGACTGGACCTACAGTAACAGTGTCTTTAATACAGACTGGACCTACAGTAACAGTTAGTGTCTAATACAGACTGGACCTACAGTAACAGTGTCTTTAATACAGACTGGACCTACAGTAACAGTGTCTTTAATACAGACTGGACCTACATTAACAGTCAGTATTCAGACTGGACCTACAGTAACAGTGTCTTTAATACAGACTGGACCTACAGTAACAGTTAGTGTGTAATACAGACTGGACCTACATTAAGTCGGTATTCAGACTGGACCAACAGTAACGGTCAGTATACAGACTGGACCTACAGTAACAGTGTCTTTAATACAGACTGAACCTACAGTAACAGTTAGTGTCTAATACAGACTGGACCTACATTAACAGTCAGTATTCAGACTGGACCAACAGTAACGGTCAGTACACAGACTGGACCAACAGTAATATCAGTGTCATATACAGACTGGACCTACAGTAACAGTCAGTATACAGACTAGAACTACAGTCACAGTCAGTGTCTAATACAGACTGAATCTACAATAATCGTCGGTGTCTTTAATACCAACTGAACCTACAGTAACAGTCAATATACAGACTGGACCTACAGTAATGGTCAAATCTAATTGCTGTAAATGATGTCAAAAAGGACATCTGTCACACTGACCTTTATAGACATTACATACGGACTCACATACATACTCGCACACATATATATACACACATATTAGCAACCACCTGGGTTCGACAGCAACAGCCTGACAATATCTTAACAATCACCTGGGATACTATAGCAATGGCTGAGCTACACTTTAGCAACCACTTGGCATACCATAGCAATGGTCTAGCATCACCTTAGTAACCGTCTCAAAACCATAGCAACCACCTAACATCAACTTAGCAACCACCTGAGATACAGTAACAATGACTTAGGAACACTTTAGCAGTCATCTCTAATACCATAGCAACCACTTGACAACAACTTTGCTACCACCTAAGCTGCTATAGCAACAGCCTAGCAACATCTTCGCAACCACCAGGGACAGCATTCTGATTTTAATTGGAGTAGTGTTCTTTTAAATGGCCAGTCCAAACTTTTATGACCCAGTTCTATTAGTTTATTGACTAAGAGGCCTCAGGATGTAATAAGCCTGAGAATTGAAGGGGTCACTCATCTGATTGTTTATCTGTGGTGGGTTCCCCAACAACCACCTCAGCAAACATGATTCCTAAGTGGTAGAGCGAGCATCTCTCTGAACACTCTCTCTCCCAGTAAAGATGGTCTTAACACTGAGGTGCTTCTGGGTAACCAGGCCCTGCTTGTTCACTCATTCACCCATCAACATACTGCTGTTAATCATACGCAGGGTTTTGGAACATCTCTGTGGAAGACCCTCACTCTAAGTCAGTGCCGGTGAAGGAGGATCAGCACTACACTGTCCGACTGGCTGCCTGTACACGAGCAGGCTGTGGACCCGAGTCCGTCCACACCATCACGACCCCGCAGAACCGTGAGTGCAACCACACAAAGACGGGCAAGGAACAAAATATGAATTATTCCGTTCCACCTTAAATGGTCAGGCACCTGAATGTAACTGCTGCACCGTTTAAGGTGGAATGGAATGTTTGAATAAGAATCTGGTGAATAGGAACATCACTAACGCGTTTGAGGCGAGTGCTTGATTTAGGCTTGCGGTTAGCACCATGCTAATCGGAAGCTGTAGCTTCAGCACTGGAGCCACATTGGCGCTGTAGCTCCAGTGCGGAAGCTACAGAAGGTAACCAAACCCATCTTGACCAACTGAAGCAGTTGAGTGTTTAGCTCAGAAGCCACTAGCAGAAAGAATATGTAAGCTGAATAAAGAAGTTACTAAATTATAGATGATACAAATCAGAAGCTGGAAATTATACACTGTATTTGTCACTTTCAGATTACTTGCTGATGGCAAAGGTCATGACCCCTCTCCTCATATTGATTGGCTGTTGTTTTTGCCTGTGGCCGTGCAAAGAAACGTGAGTATTCCAGAATAAAGCACTGTATGCAGTAAACAGTATCGCCCAACCCCATTTCACCCCAGACCCTCCCACTTAGCCCTACCCCTCTGTCTTGTGTTCAGACCTCGGGTTAGGGTGTCCTGTTTCTTGTTGGGATAGAGGGCGAAGCGTTAAGGTCGTTGCACGCTGGATGTGTCGCGTCGTGTCCCGCAGCGTCCAAAAATTCCATTGCTTTTAACAGAAGGATGCACCGACATGTCAGCACTCCACGACTCCAAGCACTGTTCAGTTTCTCAGTGTGTCACAGCGCCCCACTCAGCATTTTACCATCACTACGTTAAATTAAAGCCATGTTGAGGCCACGAAGAGCCACAGTAGATCACAGTGGCTTCAAACACAGAGAAAGGCAGCCAGTGTTTTAGGTTAAGATACCTCAGCTAGTGTTACTGTACTGGCCTCTTTCAGCTCGTATCTTTCAGCCTGTAAACAGCCAGTCTGTGTGGAGGTAGTGAACTGATACCAAGTGTATTGAGATGCTAAACACTTTATTTCACTCAGTTTACACGAGTGGAGTGTTAAAATGAACCTGAACCTGGTGTTGTTGGGCTCCCCCTGCTGGTATTCTATAGCAGCACTCTGCACCGTGACGCTACGTGTCTGGTGCGCAACGGCCTTTAGGGCTACATGGCCGTCAAAACGAGGATTTTTCAGAGGCACATTCCAATCAGAGTGTGATGAGAAATGTCCCTGAATGGGGCTCCCGAGTGGCGCAACCATCTAAGCGTTGGCCCTGTCTTTAGGAGATTGCGAGTTCGGTCCCTGGTGATGCTACAGCCGTCCGTGGCCAGGAGTCCAAGAGAGCATAATTGGCCTCGCTCTCTCTGGGTGGGTAGGATGGCCCCCCCATCTCCCCCCATCACTCAGCGCAGGCGTCTGTTAGCTGACGTAGCAGATCTGGCAGTTGGCGCTTTCCTCCGAGCGCATTCGGCTGTCCAACGACGTTGCGTGAGCGGCAGTTCGAAAAGCTGGCTTCACAGGTCTCGGAGGAAGCCTGTGTTAGCCTTCACCCTCCTAGCGCTGGTAGTATCGTGTGATTGGGGGAGTCCTAACTAGCGAGTGGAATGCCTCGTGAGTCCCTGAATGCCTCATGAATCACTGCTAAGATGGCTGCGCAAGCGACCAAAGAAACCGATGGTAGCCTATTAATGAAGCGATATGTTTTTTGTATTTGGTGACTTGTTTGTTTGATGCGGGTGGCACAGTGGGTAGCGCTGTCGGCTCACAGCAAGAAGGATCTGGGTTCGGTTCCCCAGCCGGGTGACCAGGGTCCTTTCTGTGTGGAGTTTGCATGTTCTTCCCATGTCTGTCCCCTTGGCATGTTCGTCCCCTGCACAATGACCACTGGGATAGGCTCCAGCTCCCCCCGTGACCCAGAAGAATAAGCGGTTTAGAAAATGTGTGTGTTTGATTGTTGCTTGAAATCGAAGTTGAGAACAAATGACAATTGTCCAAGCTTTTCAGTCTCACTCACATAAAAGGCCAGTGTCATTGTGATATAAGATTATTGCCATAGTGTAGAGGCAAAGCAGCAGACCACGTCCTGAACAGTTTTTCCAGGCTGTTTTCAGTATGATTTACGGGTCCTGTCCCCAACAAAGTTAGAATACTTGTTATTTGGATATTCTGAGTTTGTCATCCGAGTAACTGCAGGCAGTAGTGTTGGTTTATTTGAGATCTTAACAGTGTTAAGGGTTGTCGCATTTCGGAGGGGATGATTTCAACCACTACCCCTATGTAACTCAGTTCCAAGGGGCAAGGTGACACTCGAAAACAAGGGCTAGGGGTAAAAATGATAAACGGGACCGGACCTGTAAGTGTGGGAAACAGTGTCGAGTGCACATTATTACATGCAGCACACTGTGTCTGTGCTCAGTGTTCAGGATTACTGTATTTATGAATCTGAGTTTCTCTCCAGGCTGAAAGGAATCGCTGTGGACATTTTCAGCTTCCCTTCAGATCAGAGGATGAAGGTGCTGGAGCTGGACGACAGTCTGTTTGAGGTAAGACGTTTACTAACACACTTTCACCGTCACTCCAGCCGGATTCTCACTGAAGAGAAATGAATACAGAAATCAGTGGCTGCTCAGTACATCACCCCCCTCCCAATATTCTCACCACGTTTTCCCTCATCTTCCCTCTTTTGATATTGATAACTGTGGTGATTGATAACTAAATATTTGCATCAGGAATAGTATTTTAACCCATGAATTAAACTAAGACTTTTTCTGGTGTAGAATGCACAGTTTACGAAAAACAAACTGATATGGTAAAACAGTGTTAATGACAATAATATTTGTTTATAATATTTAAAAGACTAGATACTTGAAACATATGTAATGCTAGCTAATATCAAACTCTGCTAACTGAAAATAGCTAATGCTAACCAGCTGTGCTAACTGAAAACAGCTAAGGTTAGCTACCTCTACTAACTGTCTAACTAGCTAACTCTGCTCGTTGCTAACACTAGCTGTAACTCGGCTAACTGCTCCGCTGTGAGTGAACAGCTAGACTTCTTACCTCCTCATGTGATGTAAAAGCTCTCTTTGCCATCTATTGTACTGAAGCAGCAACTGTTTAGAGTTCCAGCCCTTTCTGTAAATACCAGCCTAACATCGTCACAGAACGTTAGCAAAAATACCCCAAACGGGCTTCATAAGCGTGGCTGTTTCCATGGTTACCTGTACCTGTTCTGACCCCCTCAGGTGAGCGAGATGCTGCGGGTGCTGCAGGTGGAGGACTGTAAGTGTTGTAATCTGGACTCTGTGGATTTGAGGAGCAGCATGGAGGAGAAATCGTGGCTGATCTTCACTGAGGAGCGCTGTAAACCTGCGGGACCTTCTCTGTCTGAGGAAGAGCTGGCGTGGGATGAGCTGGCTGCTGAGAGGGTGACAGGCATGACCAACCTCACCTACCTGTCCTCGCTCCCCCCGCGCACAGCTTCACCTGCACTGGAGTCCAGCAGGAGCCACAGTGCCAAATATGTCGCCTCTTTCAACACCAACGACTACGTCACCTCCTTTAACACCACCGAGTACATCACCGCCGTCAGCCCCGGCGACTACGTCACCTCCATCAAATCCGGCGACTACGTCACCTCCTTTAACACTGGCAAGTACGTCACCTCCATCAAATCCAGCGACTACGTCACCTCCTTTAACACCACCGAGTACATCACCCCCGTCAGCCCCGGCGACTACGTCACCTCCATCAAATCCGGCGACTACGTCACCTCCTTTAACACCGGCGACTACTTCAGCTCTGTCAGCCCAGGCAACCATGTCACCTCCGCATCCACAGTAACGATGTGACTCAGCACAGCTTTTACACGGAAAGATCCAAATCAGTTTCAATACGCTGTAATTATACTGATTGATACTGTAAGTGTGACTCGCCGCTGAAAAGTCACAGTATCGCGCTTTCATGCAAAAAAAAGATGCGCCTGCTTTACTTATTATTTAGCAGAAATGTTTTCTTTTATTGGTGTCATATATCAGTATTGTTAAGGCCAGTATGGCGATAACAGTTAAAGGCAAGCTAATCTATTAATCTCTTTGATTACGATTTGACTAACGACTCAATCTAGTCAATGTATCATGTATTTCTCATTATATCGTCTGCTGTAATAATATTAGACTACTTAACCTATTTCTAGATTTTTACTTTAAACGATTTCTAATTTTTATGGAGAAGCGAAGTCATATCGCCCCCTACACTTCCTGTAGTGTATTACAGTCTGTCAGAGTGACTGTGTGGATCATATGAACATTATAGAGCTTTTTAAATGAAACGGTAGAAGCCATATCGCCCCCTACACTTCCTGTAGTGTATTACAGTCTGTCAGAGTGACTGTGTGGATCATATGAACATTATAGAGCTTTATAAATGAAACAGTAGAAGCCATATCGCCCCCTACACTTCCTGTAGTGTATTACAGTCTGTCAGAGTGACTGTGTGGATCATATGAACATTATAGAGCTTTTTAAACGAAACAGTAGAAGCCATATCGCCCCCTACACTTCCTGTAGTGTATTACAGTCTGTCAGAGTGACTGTGTGGATCATATGAACATTATAGAGCTTTTTAAATGAAACGGTAGAAGCCATATCGCCCCCTACACTTCCTGTAGTGTATTACAGTCTGTCAGAGTGACTGTGTGGATCATATGAACATTATAGAGGCTTTATAAATGAAACAGTAGAAGCCATATCGCCCCCTACACTTCCTGTAGTGTATTACAGTCTGTCAGAGTGACTGTGTGGATCATATGAACATTATAGAGCTTTTTAAACGAAACAGTAGAAGCCATATCGCCCCCTACACTTCCTGTAGTGTATTACAGTCTGTCAGAGTGACTGTGTGGATCATATGAACATTATAGAGGCTTTTTAAATGAGACAGTCGAGGTCTTATGGTGTGTTAAGAGTCTGCAGTCGTGTTCCTCCAGTATGAGTGAGTGTGGGACCTCCTGTGTCCTTTAGACTTGAGGCGGTTCTGAAACCCCCACAGTGACGTGAGGAATGGAGTGTGTGAGTGTGTGTTTGCGCTCTGAGCCCCTCGTGGAGATGCTGAGGGGAAAACTGCGGTTGTGAAATGATGACTTGCTAACTCTCTCCTCTTATCAGCCGCAGCATCCTTCATATCTCATCTCACAGCCTCTCTCACTTCCACCTGACGGTGACTCAGTGTTTCCGCAGAGAGACGAGCGCCGAGAGAAAAGCAGAACAACCAGAGCGCTGAGAGGAGCATCAGATCTCAGCACATACTTCATGATTTATAAACAGCTTTTATTATTTTTCCTTTTTTTGTTTTTTCTTGCTTATAGTCATACATTTTGTATAAAACTGCACTGAAATTCATCCCTCTGTTACCTTTGCTTTGTTCAATGTCAGTCTTTAAAGCTCAAATGCACATTAAAAGGCCCGTATTATGAAAGTCTGATTATTATTATTATTTCATACATTTTTAAACACGGATACTTTCAAAATGTACCATTTACTGTCCAGCCTATATATGGAAACTTTAGCTCCACCCATTCAGCCAGGTTAGCTCCACGCATTCAGCCTACAGCAGTTTAGCCCCACCCATTCAGCTACAGCAGTTTAGCCCCACCCATTCAGCCTACAGCAGTTTAGCTCCACCCATTCAGCCTACAGCAGTTTAGCCCCGCTCATTCTTGCTGAAATTATAAGTAGTCTGAATGGGCGGGGCTAAACCCTGTTTCAGTTTGGACTGCTTTCCTAGCTCATTTACAAACACTATGTGGCCAAAAGTATGTGGACACCTGACCATTTTGGCCATATACTGTACATTAGTGTTAAAGGGACAGTACCTGTAGAACACAGAACACAAACAAAGCCTCAGGGTGAATGTTTCACTTCTTTAATAATAATAATAATAATAATAATAATAACAATAATAATACTCCCTTTGATAAGATTGTACGTTTCTCACTGCGTCCCAAAGCACACTGTACAACAGAAACTACCATTCAGACGAACTCCATTAAATTACAGCCTCTCATCAATAAGATTTTTAGGAAAAATATAAATATCTCTGTTTTTCTCACTGCTTTCATACAAATTCAGAACACAGAACAGGTCAGCTCTGCACAGCTTACATCTTACAAAAATAATCCTCCAATCAAATCACGCGCTGAGCAGCGGCGCTGGAGCAGAGGCGGCTGAATGCCGTCGGTGTCAGAGCAGCAGAGGAAGCTGAACACAGGAAATGAAGACCAGGCAGCGGAAACAGTGCGAAACAGAAAAGAAGCAGAGAAAACGCAGCTCTCAGAAAATAAACCTTATCTCATCATTTCTCCGCCTGCGCTGCCTAAACGCTCCAGTGCAGGCTTATGATGAGCTCAGAGACTGTGGTGCCCCCTGCTGGAGCACTTCAGTCAGCTCACCTGCTGCTGAGAGCAGAGAAGGGAGAGCAGGTTCCGGAGATGGAACCATATGAAAAATCACATTATTGAACGCCAGAATGATCAATATGACTGTGTTCTTATCTGTACCACTTTCATTAAAGAGCCCATATCCTACAGCTCTACTGAGCGAGGCCCACTCACAACACCTGTGTGGCTTTATGAGTCATCATGCTGTAGATTGAATGGGTGGAGCTAAACTGCTGTAGCTGAATGGGTGGAGCTAAACTGCTGTAGACTGAATGGGTGGAGCTAAACTGCTGTAGACTGAATGGTGGAGCTAAACTGCTGTAGACTGAATGGTGGAGCTAAACTGCTGTAGACTGAATGGTGGAGCTAAACTGCTGTAGACTGAATGGGTGGAGCTAAACTGCTGTAGACTGAATGGTGGAGCTAAACTGCTGTAGCTGAATGGTGGAGCTAAACTGCTGTAGACTGAATGGTGGAGCTAAACTGCTGTAGCTGAATGGTGGAGCTAAACTGCTGTAGACTGAATGGTGGAGCTAAACTGCTGTAGCTGAATGGTGGAGCTAAACTGCTGTAGACTGAATGGTGGAGATAAACTGCTGTAGACTGAATGGTGGAGCTAAACTGCTGTAGCTGAATGGTGGAGCTAAACTGCTGTAGCTGAATGGTGGAGCTAAACTGCTGTAGCTGAATGGTGGAGCTAAACTGCTGTAGCTGAATGGTGGAGCTAAACTGCTGTAGCTGAATGGTGGAGCTAAACTGCTGTAGCTGAATGGTGGAGCTAAACTGTATTAGCCCAGGATATGAGCCCTTTAAACCTGCTGTACATCTTTAACAGCTCAATCATCTACAGTGTAAATGAATGCGAGCTGATCTCCAGCACCGTCACTGCTTACTGCTCAGATTGTGACTGTAAACACGTCCACCAGCTCTTTTTGAAAGGACACTGATCCTCCTGATTGGAATTATTAAACCTGGTATGATTATCGCTGGATTTTATATCACAGTATCTCATTAAATCGGGTAATCGTCCCGGCCCTGATAGCGAAACGGCGCTCGCTCTGTTAGCGTCCGACCACCGCAGTCACACCGCACTCACCTCAGATCAGCTCAGTTTAAATTCATTTAACATCTGATCTAAACCAAACATACACAAACACACTGCCTGTCAGGAGTCAGGGCACCTCGCCTCCTCAGTAAATGTTTATTTAAGAGTTTATTTTACAGTCAGATGAGAAAAACCTCCCTGCGCAGGTTCAGTTCACCGTAAAGCAGCTCGGTGTTTATGTTTCATGTTTATATTCAACACTCAGCTTCTTCATCTTCACCCAACAGTGGTTTAAACACATGAGAGGTTTGTGAGCTGACATCACAGCAAGTGGCCTTTGGCTTTATTCTTTACGTAGGACTATGGCAGCTTTGGCAGCTTTCGTAAAAGGCAGCTAAAAACGTTAATCAGGGGTGTAAAACGTATCACTATGGGTTGATTCCGACTCTGGAATGTTACCACATATTCAATCTTTGGCCAAACAAAGCCGAATTTTCAAACGGAAAAGCACAAAAACAACAAAACATAAAACAAAAATGGTCAATACGGCGCTGAGGTGTTGAATTTCTTTAACTGTGTATTTATTACAGATGCAGTGATCATTAACTCACAGCCCAACTCTGATTTCTTTACAGCCAAATTTTCTCATTTTAATTAAAAAAATAATTAATTTAAACTAATTATTATCTTTTACTACCTGTAACTGTGAGTTAAAAACAGCAAACGAACAGCATTATTTACTCCTTAATGCGCCAGACAGGCATTTAAAAATGTTCAATTTTGATCGTGTCCTATTTATTTAACACTAATGTAATGAAGAGCTGCATGTGCAGTGAGGTGTGTGTAATGATGCTGTGATGTGCTTCAGGTGTATCAGCAGAGCGAGCGCTCTGACCCGCCTCACCTTACTTACCTCATTAACCTGCTGTCTGTCTAGAGTAAAACTCTGCCGACTCTGTTCTCGCCCTCTGAATATTTACTCTCTGAATCGTACCAAAATAACGGAACTAAATCTGACTGCAGACGGACTAAGACTGGTGTTGGAGGCATTCTGGAAAGCGAGGTGTCCTAATACTTCTGGCAGGCAGGGAGTATAATAAAGCTAAACCACAGCAGCAGCAGCAGCAGCTCAGTCAGAGGTTTTGGGAAAAGCTTTTAGTTAAACGTCTATAAAACTATTGTAATCTACAGTCGGCTCTACTGCTACTCACTCACACTGCACATGTGCAAATATCCTCAGACAGCATGCCGGGGGGGGGCAGCAGTAACTACACTACAGGCCAAACGGTGGGAACCAGGCTTATTAACCATAAAGAACACACTGGAGTGGAGAGAACGGCCTGTGGAAGGTTCTGGAACTCCTCTGGCTGATAAGCATGTTCTGCTACTGGAGAGCAGATTAAAGAGCCCATATCCTGCGTTCCGGTCGTACTGGATTTGTTCTCCCTGAGTTCCACTTAGAACGTTTGTGGATCTTTGTACCAAAAACATTGTTCATTTCTATACGATCATTTCCAGCCTCTCTTCGTCCCTCACAGTTAAACAGGCTGCTTCTGTCACCTTTAAGACTAAGGCTAAACTGCTGTAGGCTGAATGGGCGGGGCTACACTGTTGTAAGATGAGTGGGTGGGGCTTAAAGTTTAAATCCTACATCATAACTCTTAAGAAAAGAAAAGTTTCGGTTCTCCATTATATGGGCCCTTTTATTGTAAAATACTAATTATATTTATAAATATTATTAATATTAACAACGTTTCCGCGTCTTTGGCCTGTAGTGTATATAATAGAAATGTCTGTTGTGAATAAAGAGCTTTTTCTTCTGTATCTACATGCAGTGACTCTACGGTGATGAGGACTGTCTGTGCAATAAAACACCCACACCTGATTGTCTGGATTGAAAAACTCACAGAAGGAGGAAAAATAAATAATTTAAACATGATCGCTTTCCTGACGGTCGTGTCAGTCCTTTGATCACTGTGTGGAAGTCCTGAACTCAGCCGGGAGCCGAGTCTCTTCTGTTGTAGTGTTTCAGCGCTGAGAGTGGAGCTGATACGAGCAGGAGTGACCCGTCTCCCAGCGCAGTGCGGCCCTCGGGCAGACAAATCACCCTTAAAGATGTCCTGCGTTAGAACCGGAGAGAGATCTCCATCAGTCTTAGCTTCAAATGTTCTACTGAGGTTCTCTCAGCTCCACATGATTTGGTACTCTGCGTCTCCTCCAGAACTTCAGTGCGTGTCCAGAAGGTGGCGCTGTAGCTGTCTGTTCCGAGGTGGTCCTTTAAAGCGAGGGGCATTTCCACCCTCCTTACCTTTCTTTCTCTCCAGCTTGGACACAGGACCCAACGCCTCCTCTACTGGCGTCGTCCTTCATCTAACGAAGGGAGGAGCAGAAGGCTGGACAGAGGGAAGGAGGGATGGAGAAGAGTGGAGGAAAAGAGGAGGTGGTAGAAACTCTCTCAGGACTCAGCGGGAGGTTCCTCTCAGACAGAGCTGACCGGTTTGGATAGGACAGCTTCGGCCTGATCAAACAGCTGCAGAGGAATCAAACGAAGAGTGATATTAACATCAGATTACAGTAGATTACAGTACCTCAGATTACACTATAGTACCTCAGATTACACTACATTACCTTAGATTACACTACACTACCTTACACTATAGTACCTCAGATTACACTACAATACCTTAGATTATTCTACAGTACCTTAGATTACACTATAGTACCTCAGATTACACTACATTACCTTAGATTACTCTACACTACCTTATATTACCTTAGATACACTATAGTACCTCAGATTACTCTACATTACCTTAGATTACACTATAGTACCTCAGATTACTCTACACTACCTTATATTACCTTAGATTACACTATAGTACCTCAGATTACTCTACATTACCTTAGATTACTCTACACTACCTTATACTACCTTAGATTACACTACAATACCTTAGATTACACTACATTACCTTAGATTACTCTACACTACCTTATACTACCTTAGATTACACTACAATACCTTAGATTACACTACATTACCTTAGATTACTTTAGATTAAACTACATTAATTTAAGTTACCTTAGATTACAGATTAAACTACAATACCTCAGATTACATTTAGATTACACTACATTACCTTAGATTACACTAACATTACCTTAGATGACCTTAGCTTATACGTAACATTACCTTAGATTATTTTAGATTACACTAACGTTATCGTCGATTATCTTAGATTACTCTACATTCATTTAGGTTACACTACATTACATTAGGTTACCTTAGATTACATTAACATTACTGTAGATTATCTTAGATTACTCTACATTACCTTAGATTACACTACATTCCGTTAGATAAAGAAAAATTACCCCACATTACATTAGACTACTTAAGATTATTCAACACTACATTACCTTAGATTATTTAAAATTACACTACATAACATTACATTACCTCACATTACATTAGTTTGCCTTATATTACACTAGATTAGATTATTTCAGATTACACTAGACTACATTCAACTTTACAGCAGATTATATTAGAATATCTCACTTTACATAAGATTACCTCACATTAGATTACATTAGATCACATCAGACTATGTTACAGTAGAGAAGTGTTACGGAGCACCACGGTGGAAGTCTGAGGTGATATACTATCACACACTCAAAACACAAAACACAGTTCAGAGTGTGCAAAATCACACTGTAGTACAATTTCAGAGTAAGAGTGACATTAAAAAACGCTTTTGTTCTTCAGGGATCAGAAGATTACTCAGGTGCTGATATTGTTCAGGTGCAGATAATAGTCGTCAATAATGATCAACACTGATCTGTGATATCATAACTCTGTAACTGAGCCCCAGCAAGCGCACCGGACTGAACTGCACGTCCTGGAAGAGCTCCTGGATGAAGCGGCGGGACGCCAGGCGGAACCTGCAGCTAGACAGCAGGAACGACACCTCCGAGTACAGACACGCGTCGTCAAACGCACACGGGAACTTCTCCTTTATCCTGGAACACAAACAAACAAACAAACAAACAAACAACAAATACACCGGTCAGATTAACCACCGTACAAAACACAGCACATACACTAACAGCTGCAGCCAGAAGACCTAACCCACACACTGTCTGTCCACTAGTCTGTAGACACCTACAAATTACTTATCCAGTACCACAAAAAACAAAGAACCCCAGGATCAGAGGTTATGTTCTCCAGTCATGAATATCTACAGTGAAGCGAAAGGAACCTAAAGAGTAATAAGATGATTTTAAATCAGTAACGGCTCGCAAAGACAGAGAAGTGTGTGCCATCAACGTAAGGCTACTCTCTCTTCAAGGGTTCTTTAGTAAAGAAAATGGTTCCATATAGAACCATGAACACTCCAAGAACCCTTTGCATAATTAAATGGTTCTTTGCATCATGAAATGGTTCTTCACAATATGCTGTAGATGGTCCTATATAGAACCTTTTTAAAAGGGTTCTATACAGCAATCAAAGTTCTAGAAGTTGTTACAAGCTTGACATCATAACAATAGAAGTCCTTTATGGTGCTATATAGAACCCTTTTCAAAAAGGTTCTACACGGGACCATCTACAGCACATTCTCCATCAGTCTGAGGGACGTTTTCATGATGCCAAGGACCCATTAATCATGCAAATGGTTCTTTGAGTGTTCATGGTTCTATACAGAACCATTTTCTCTACTAAAGAACCGTCTTTTAAGAGTGTAGAACATGAGAGAGGTCACCATCCTGCTACAGTACCCGTGTACAGACTTTATGAAATTAAAAGGATTAGAGAAACTTTTTCCAAGACTTTCAAGAACACTTTTTGATTTTATTGTTTTATTTTAGAACTCGGTACTCAAATTTTAACGGCCTTAAAACCAAATCAGAAAAATAAAGGTACGTTTTCCCTCTGATGTCTTTAAGTGTTGTAGTTCAGTGTGTAAATGTTCAGACAGTCTTTTACAGAGAGAAGAGTCAGTACTGATCCACTCAGCACTGACGGCTTCAAACAGCTGAAAAGCACCGCTGAGCTGGTTTGAGTTTAATGTGAGACCAAATACTCACTACAGGGTTTAAATCTGGACTCAGTACAGGCCATTGTGTTTCGGGCTTGACCCATATTTCTGGCACAGGACTAACTAAAGTCTGTTAACTAACGTGCCAGAAAAACCCATCTATATAACCATAATAAGCCAAAGGCATCACTTTTCAAACAGCAGGTCTTTGAGTAGGATGGTCTTTAAAGGAGCTGAAGAAAGGGGATTGTGGGTAATTTCTGGCTGACACAGACAGACATTCTCAGTGTGATGGTCTTACGTTAGCAGGCCGGTTTCGTTTCCTTTAGTACCAACGGACGAGCTCAGGTTGATGACCAGACGCAGAATCTCCTTCCTCAGCAGCACTCGGCAGGCAGTACCATCCTCCGAGATCACTTTACCACCTACACACACACACACACACACCATCACACACACCATCACACACACACACCATCACATATGTACTCTGTTAGGGGTGGAGATGATTCACACTGTACTAGGTACCCTGTAAGCCCCATGTGTCAAACACAAGGCCCGTTACATGGGCTGAATCTCAAATGGCTCCCTCTCCCTATGCAGTGCACTATAGATTTTATAATAACAGCTCCTTAAACCCAAACACTGCACAACATGTCGAGCCTTTTTAGCTTCCGTTATGTGCGCACAACTCCACTCTGCATATACCAGAGGTGCTCAATCATCGTCCTGGAGATCTACCACCCTGGACAGTCCAGGTCCAACACACCTGGCTCTAATATTCAGATGCCTCTGAAGGCCTTTTTTACCTGGTTCAGGTGTGCTAGTTTAGGGTAGGAGCTAAACTCTATGGGGTGGCAGTTCTCCAGGACCAGGACTGGGCACCCCTGGCATATACAGCGTAGCACATAGTGCACTACGTAGGGAGCAGGGGAGCCGTTTGAGATATATCATTATATTAGAGCGGTCAGTCTCTTGGGTTTAAACAGAACCGGGTTCTCATACAGGGTTTGATTAATACACTGAAGCCTGATTCCGTCTATCAGAACTACGTTCAGGCTCCATTTAATGAGTGCTGCTTATTATCTTGGTGCAGAAACACAGAATTGAGTGTAGAGCTGAGCATATCAGGTATCAGGTTTCGAATGTGACTCAGCCAATCAGATTTCAGAACCACAACCAGACATTTAATAACTGATTTTGATTGGCTGCATCCTTGATTTTTGGCTTGCTGGTTAAAAATTACTTTCCAACTAACAACAGTCAGTTGCTGAAGGAATTCACCAAAATTTGCATCTCCAATTCAGCTTAAAATGAATATAAATGCAGTTTCGTTCTGCTCCTTAAATGTTACTTGGACAGCCAAAAGTGCCCACAGCTGCAAAAATAACCCCTGCTGTAGTTATAAACTTTGAACTTTACACTGACCTGAGCATCATAAATCCCAAATCAATAAGCAAATCAATCACTCAAAGGAAAAAAAGAGCAGTATTTAAATCACACATGCCTCAAACACTAAACATATCACTGAATTAGCCCATCAGGTACGGATTAACAATACAGGAATGCTAACCCTTATTTCCCTATGGTGAATATTTTTTAAAAATGTGAGTAGTGTGTTTTAAAGCACCCGTCTGTATCCGTTTTCAGCACTGTTTTATTATACTGACCCAGTAGTATCTCGGTGCTGGGGGTGCTGCTGGAGGAACCCTGGCTCACAGCTGCATCGCTGCACCCAGAAACCCCGGAGAACTTGGACTGAGCCACCACCTCCAGGTGAGTATGAGAAGGTTTGGGCTGCCAGTGGGAGGAGAATCCATCAGTCAGGTCTAAACAGGAGAGGAAAAGATTCATACTTGAGTCATTTTAAATACATTTAATATCATTTAACACTGAGTATGTAATTTACTGCGATACTGACGCACCTTGTCAAATTACCCAGCCCTACTGCCAAGCTTGACGGACCAGTGAGTGCGTTTGCATGCACTAAATAATCCGATCATCATCTGATTTCTGCTATTATCTGATTATTCAAGCGGTTGTGTAAACAGCACACTTTGATTTCTTAGATCGGAGAGGTTGGATTGTAGCTCTGTAATCGGATTTCTCGGTGCTGTAAACTCTTACTCTGATTTCTTTCGGATTTCCCAGTCTGAGCATGTGTGAAAACAGACTGCGGTACCGGAAATAAGCGAGCAGCATCACTGCGAGATGCAGCGAAACACTTTTGGAGTGACTCTGAAACCAAATACTTGCTCGATGAAATGAAGGATTTAAAGATTCTTCATCTTCTAGATGATGATGTTCATATTCATATCAGGTAAAGTGACTCAAGTTTAAAAAAAAGCCACTCGTGAAGTTTGAGTTTTACGTTACGTTTATGTCACGTCGTCTTCTGTGAGTTTATTGGCTGGTTACAAAGCAGAAATCTGATTACTGTCTGACTCATGTAGACCCGGAGTTTCCCCGTTATCTGATTACTCAAGTGCATGTAAACGCTTTGATCAGATTGCTGACAAAATCTGATTTTCTGCAGTTATCAGATTAAGTGACTGTAAACACACTCACTGTCTCAGCAATCAGAGCTTTTAGACAAATGTCAAAGGTTTTGAGGCGTAACACTCGATCGAAACTCGATGTGCAGCGGGAAAAAAAAACAACACATCAACTGAAAATCTTTTCGTGCTGTTTATTCACGCTGTGTACACTTTTCTAAGACTTCATTAGTATTTCTAGGACATTTGACTAGTTTCTTATTTTCCAGGTGTTTTCCATAACTGGAAAACCAGACTATAAATTTCACACACACACAAATCAGGAGACGGTGTGGTCAGTGATTTATTCAGGTGCGTCTGTGTGAGCTCGAAATAGTGGAGTTGATTAAGGAAGCCCTGATTGGCATTAAGGATGTGTCTGACGTTAAAGCATCAGTACTGGCTGCTCTAATCATCATCGTAAATCAACACTGGAGGAGATATTTACATAAAGGAAACCTGCAGAATTGATAAAACACAACTGCTGACAGGATGTTTAATCTAAATTGTTGGGCTCAAATGGTTGTGGGTGAGGTTAAAAACTGTACTGCAGGAAGCCTCTAGAGGGCGCAAGAGACGTTTTTAACTGCTCTCATACAGCCTGCTTACTGACTGTGTGTACTCACCAGTGCGTAAGTGTGTGTTGTTGAGAGGAGTGTGTGTGTGCTCCCCCAGGGCAGCGAGGCCACTGCAGTACAGACAGTTTTGATCTGTGTGCTCCTTCAGTCCCGTACTCTCCTCTCCGCCCAGCAGGTGGCGCTGCTCCGATCGACTGCCGCTCAACAGCTCTGTAATACTGACCCGCTGCTTCAAAGCGGCTCGACAGCTGTCCATCAATCCTGCGCGCACAGATTACGTAATAATTTACACTTAAGATGCAGTGCTCAAAAATACTGTTTCGTTTATTTAATTCATTCTTTTTACTGCATTCAGAAGTACATCATCGCAGTTATAAGTCAAACTGAGTCAAACTGCACAGTAAACTAGAAGACGTTCATTAGATTCGTTTTTCTTCCTGTTTCACTTTTACTCACCTTACTCCAGTTTTCAGTTTAGTACAGAGAACATTCTGAGTTTCTGTTGACTTTGCTGGTTGTTATAACTTTTCTCATTGAAATTAATGAATAAATGACATCTTAAGTGTGGAAACAACACAATAATATTCAGAGACTCCGTTTTTTAGCGCTGTATATAAAGAATATCATAGAACACGTTCAAAATAGCATTAGTAGTTTTGAAGCCTCACTTTCAGAGTCTCCGAAGAACACCGACTTCTCTATAGCTGGTGGGCTCGTTCTCTTCTGTAAGTATGAGGTTTCATCAACCTGTAAAACACACGTTCGTTCTTTTTTAAAACACTGCTGCCGTCAACATCATCCTCAGTTCTGTAAACGGCAGTAAGGAGAATTACGTGGAAGAGGTCGGTGATGTCCGTGGGCAGGGCGAGGCCGATGTAATCCTCATTACTGCAGTAGGTGGCGCTAGAGACCATGGAGCGCAGGGAGGCGGAGCGCTGCAGTGTGGAGTGGTTTATGGGGCTCAGGAGGTCGTCCTTATCCAGAGACACGAAGCTCAGGGCCTTCAGGAACCTGCAGGAGAACCAGCTCCGTCACTAACAGTCCAGGAACAGAAACCTCACCAGCACTGCCAGCTGCTCCAGCTTTAATCTAGGACAAGTCTGATCTACCCAGGATTTACCCAGGACATGTCTGATCTACCCAGGATCTATCCAAAACAAGTCTGATCTACCCAGGATTTACCCAGGACAAGCCTGATCTACCCAGGATCTAATTATAACAAGTCTGATCTAGCCAAGATTTAATTACAACAAGTCTGATCTACTCAGGATCTATCCAAAACAATACTGATCTACCCAGGATTTACCCAGGGCAAGTCTGATCTACCCAGGATCTATCCAGAACTGGTCTTATCTATTCACTTGTTCTAGAACAAGTATGATCTAGCCAAGATCTAATTACAACAAGCCTGATACAATTCAGGAGTTATCCAGAACAATTCTGATCTACCCAGGATCTATCCAGAACAAGTCTGATCTACTCAGAATCTAATCAAGACTAAATCTGATCTACCTAGGACAAGTCTGATCTACCCAGGATCTATCAAGAACAAGTCTGATCTACTCAGGACCTATCCAGAAAACATCTGATCTATTTAGGATCTAATCAAGTCTGATCTACCTAAGACAAGTCTGATCTACCTAGGACAAGTCTGATCCACCCAGGATCTATCAAGAACAAGTCTGATCTGCTCAGGACCTATCCAGAAGACATCTGATCTAATTAGGATCTAATCAAGTCTGATCTACCTAAGACAAGTCTGATCTACCTACGAGCTATACAGAAAAAGTCTGATCTACTCAGAAAATTCTGATCTATTCAGGATCTATCCAAAACAAGTCTGATCTACCAGAATCTGTCCAGAACAAGTCTGATCTACTCAGGATTTATCCAGACTACATATAATCTACCAAGGACAAGTCTGACGTACTCAGAACAAGTGTGCTCTATCCAGGATCTAAAAAGGAAAAATTCTTTCGATAGTTCATTATTCTTATTTACAGCGGGTCATTCTGTGAAATCTAAGAGGATCTATCCAGGGCAAGTCTGATCTACCCAAGCAAAGGCTGATCTACAAAGGTCTAATCAACACAGGAGATTAACAGGAGGGAGAGGACCTCAGCTCTACTGGGGCGTTCTGTAAAGTTCTACTACCCACGCACCGCGTTTGGAGGGTTCTGGACACCCTGCGATGGATCGGCCCGAAGTACCTGTGCCTCTTTATTGAGTGGCTGAAGAACCAGACAAACAACACCTTCTCAAATCCCAGCTCAGCCCGAATTCAACAGAACAACGTGCTTAAAATACGGAACTACACACAGTTTTCTTTAAGAAGCTCAGACTGTCGACGGCTCTGATTTCAGAGAAACTAATTTACTGTTAAACAGCTTGTAAATACGTCGGGAAATCAGGCCGAAATCAGGCTGATAACCATGACTTTTAACTAGAAGATACCAGGCTGCTTCAGATATCCAGGCCCAGCTCGTATGAGGAAGGTTCTGAGCAGGTTCTGGTTAAAGTGAGCGCGTACCTGCGTGGAGCGTGGAGCCGCAGGTCCAGGCTGCGTGTCTTCATGGTGATGGCGTCGGTGAACAGCACGTCTTTGGCGGGCGAGGCCAGCACCTCGCTGTGGGAGAGCGAGGGGTGGATCCTCTGCTGCTGCAGCCTCCTCAGCGTGGCGTAACCCAGGGCGTCCCGCGGGCTGAAGCTGCTGTAGTCCACCAGACTCTTCACCGTGGAGGAGGAGCGCAGGGACGCCGCCCGGCGGGGCAGAGTGTGGGCAGAACCGGGAGGAACCAGGGACACACTCGCACTCTGAGACAGAGAGAGAGAGAGAGAGAGAGAGAGAGAGAGAGAGAGAGAGAGAGAGAGAGAGAGAGAGAGAGAGAGAGAGATTAGTGCTGTGATAGTAACTCTGCCCAAACCTCTCAGCACTGGTTTTAACTGCCCTCATCCACTCACCCTCAGCACTTCGCCTCGGGGAGAATCCCCCACTCCACCCAGGGCCGTTCTCTTACTGCATCAGCCAATATGAAGTTTATTTGATGAACGTGATGAGCTGTTCTCACAAAACAGCCTCAAACCATGTCCACAAATACACCAGATAAGAATGTAATCATATAACTTAGTAGGTCAGTAGGTGACTCTCACTACTGCGCTGGACACACATGTTACTCAACACTAATTTTAAAAATTTAGTATTACTTTTAACTATTGAATCTGTTTCCCTTTCCCTCAATGGCTGTCAGTCTGTTATAGTAATGAGATACAAGTCTAAAATATTATATTTTGTAAACTATTATGTACATTATACACACTGGTCACTAAAAGTGGAAAACGTTATCAAAAATCATTCAGGTTTATTTTTAATTACTCATATAAATCTGCTATACAGTTAAGATGCTAAAGCCAGCATGACTAACAACAAACACTCCAGCTGATTAGCTCTGAAAACGCATGAACTCAGAGAGACCTGGGACAGTTGACATAATACACTACAATTACAACGCACTGTAAATATAGATCTTCTTTATTTCTACATCTGAAAATAAATAAAGCAGTAGTATAGAATAAACAGTAGTAATAACAATAGCAATAATACTGGTAACAGTAACAACAATGCTAACAGAAACGTAAACTAAATAAAAAATAAAAAGTAAAATAGCAATAAAAAATAACCTCAGATTAAAAAATATGTGCAGAATGACCCGTCCTGAAAGGTGATAACCAAACATGCCCATTCAGCGTTATTTACGCTGAACTGGGAGACAGAAGACAGACAGAGTTCCTCTGTGAAACACTCATGATCCTCACCGTATCGGTCTTCACCGTGTTGGCGCTGACCACGGTGCTGATGCTGCCGCAGTCCGTATCCATGGTGACGGCGGATGCGGTCTCCCGGGAGGGCGAGGAGCTCATGGAGCTGATGCCGCTGGTCGTGGTGTCCGTGTTGAAGCTCTGGCTGCGGCTCTTTAAGGCTCCCCCCGGCAGCCCGGAGGACGGCCCTTCACAGACCCTCCTCTCGCGCTGACCTTTGACCTCCAGCTCCAACCCCTTGTCCAGGGTGACCGCTTTACGCTGACCTTTCACACAGTTCTGCAAAGCTGAGACACAAACACATCGTTCTGTTCGGAGCTGTTTCTGAGCAGGATGTGAGTGTTTCCATGGCAGCGTGGTGACTGAGGGACTTCCACTTGTTAGTAATGCTGTCAGTAAAGTGTGGATGAACAGTGAGACTGTGAGAGTGAAAGTGAAAGTAAACAGAAAGCTGCAGTTCAGAATGTGAAACTGACACATTTTCATTTTATTACAGTGTTTCTCAGTACGTAAAGCTGAACAGCCAGTTCGACCTCACTGTCCTCACAGCATCTCTCATTCACTGCCTTTCACTGAAACCAACAGTAACGATCAAAACTGGCAGGTAAAGTGAAGCAAGGTGAGGGGGAGGGGGCGGGGCTTCTAGACCTGCTGCATCAAACCAGAGAAAAGCAGGCAGGCAGCGGCAGGACTTAATCTTAATCTGACTTAAACTTAATCTGATGCATCCTATCAGAGTAAAGCGGACAGAGAAGGGCGGGGCTTCTAAATCTGGTGCATCCTATCAGAGTAAAGTCGGCGATGAAGGGGTGGGGCTTCCAAATCCGGTGCATTCTATCAGAGTAAAGTGGACAGTGAGGGGCGGGGCTTCTAATACTGGTGCATCTTATCAGAGTAAAGTCGGCGATTGGGGTGGGGCTTCTAAACCTGATACATCCTTTCAGAGTAAAGTGGGTGAGAAGGAGGCGGGGCTTATTAAGATGATGCACCTTACTAGAGTAAAGTGGTCGAGGAGGAGGCGGGGCTTATAAATCTGACACATCCTACTAGAGTAAAGTGGTCGAGGAGAGGGGCGGGGCTTATGAATATGGTACATCCTATCAGAGTAAAGTCGTTGGGGCTGACGGAGGTGCTTATTAATGTGGCGCATCCTACAAGGGTAAAGTGGGTGGGAGGGGGCGGGGCTTGTGTTATGTACACACCCGGCTCAAATGATTAAGCTTTTTTTTGGATGCATAAAATATTTGTCACATATGTGCTGAAAACTGAATCCTAACGTCTGAACTGAAAATCATATTGACCCTGAAAATATGAACATAAGCTTACTGACCTCTGCCCTCCGTGTCGGACCCCTCTCCCACCCCCATGCCGTCCTGGAGGATTTTTGGGCCCACGAACGATGTTTCGAGGCTCACGGCGGGGCTGTGGGGGGATCGGCCCCCGTTATAGAACACCTCTCCCTGCGTGGCGCCGTCCGGCGAGTAGCTCGAGGGCTCGGTCAGCGTGCGGTTTCTCCGGACGGCGCCCGGCTGCAGCTCCTCGGGAGACTTCTTCCCCCCGGAGGGATGTTTAGGGTCGCTCACGCTGCGGGGCTTCATGCTGGGCAGCGGGAGGGAGTTCAGGAAACGGTTTCTGACCAGACGAGACGACGACAGGATGGTGAACGGACTCCGGTCCTTCACCGGTTTAGAGCGTACGCAGGCCGGTACGTCCTCGCAGCGCTCCACTCCGTCACTCTCATCATCCACAAAGTACAGACCTGGAAACGAGGAGCACAAACGGAGGAACATCGGTACAACAGACAACGTCCACAATTAAAAAGTCCAACAGTGTTTCTGTCTACATTTTTAAAAGCGAGGTCCAGCCAAAGGGTGAGTTCACAACTCAACCTGAAGAGGGCAGCAGTTAAAGGTAAGAGATGAAGTTATGATGTGGTCAGGGCTGTCGGTCAGCTGGCATTTCTGCTGACGATTAATTGTCATAAATAATTGCAATTAATGATTTAATTTCACACAACTACTGATGCACTAAAATTGCTAAATTAACTTATAAGTCATCTTCATAGCTAAGTTTACTCAATTTTCAAAAATTACAGAAATTTAGATTTTTTCTTGAGAGAGAAAATCTAAGCATTAAAATCATTCTGCTAGTAACATCCCAAAACATCAGAATCAGCTAATAAAGAAATGACGTGTGCTTCCCTCTAAACATGTTGGAGCACGAAGCTAGAAGTTTTCATAAGACCCAAAATTTACATTCATTTACCTCAACCCAAACACACATCCTACCAGAGTAAAGAGGGTGGAGGGGGGCGGGGCTTATGAATGTGGTACATTCTATCAGAGTAAAGTGGGTGGAGGGGGGGGCGGGGCTTATGAGTGCAGTACATTTTACCAGAGTAAAGTGAGTGAAAGGGGGTGGGGCTTAGGAATGTGATACATTCCACCAGGATGAAGTGAGTGAAAGGGGGTGGGGCTTAGGAATGTGATACATTCCACCAGGATGAAGTGAGTGGAAGGGGGTGGGGCTTAGGATGTGATACATTCCACCAGGATGAAGTGAGTGAAAGGGGGTGGGGGCTTAGGAATGTGATACATTCCACCAGGATGAAGTGAGTGAAAGGGGGTGGGGCTTAGGAATGCGGTACATTCTACCAGAGTAAAGTGGGTGGGAGGGGGCGGGTCTTATAAATGCGGTACATTCTACCAGAGTAAAGTGGGTGTGAGGGGGCGGGGCTTATAAATGAGGTACATTTTGCCACAGTAAAGTGGGTGTGAGGGGGCGGGGCTTATAAATGAGGTACATTTTGCCACAGTAAAGTGGGTGGGAGGGGGCGGGTCTTATAAATGTGGTACATTCTACCAGAGTAAAGTGGGTGGGAGGGGGTGGGGCTTATAAATGAGGTACATTCTACCAGAGTAAAGTGGGTGGGAGGGGGCGGGGCTTATAAATGAGGTACATTCTACCAGAGTAAAGTGAGTGTAAAGGGGCGGGGCTTATGTTATGTCTAATAAGCGGGATGTAAATTCTGATTCGTCAGTTTTCTGCTCCAAACCACCCTAAAATGATTTAAATACCTCAAATGGTTTGTTGACATCACATGAGGGGTTAAGGTGGGCGTGGCCTTTATGCTAATGCTGTGACAGTGTACACTCACTGGGCTGACTCTCACTCTCGCTCTCTCTCTGAGAGCTGTTAGACTCAGAGTTTAAACTGAGCGTGCTCGGGATGGAGCTCAGTTCCCCCGGCAACCGCGTCTCCGCGTCCTCGACGACGGGCCACTGCTGCCTCCGGCCATGACGAACCGAGTCCCAGCCCAAAACCTTCAGAACCTCACTGCCCTGCCGAGTCCGACTGATCACACCCAGCACATACACACAAATCCTGCAGAGAGAGAGAGATAAAGATAAAGAACAGAGAGAGAGAGAGAGAGAATAGACTCAGTTTATATCACAATACCTACATTTAGAGTCGGTTATTCATTCAGCCTAATGAGAAACTGTAGAACAGACTTAGTTTATATCACAATACCTACATTTAGAGTCATTTATTCATTCAGCCTAATGAGAAACTGTAGAACAGACTCGGTTTATATCACAATACCTACATTTAGAGTCAGTTATTCATTCAGCCTAATGAGAAACTGTAGAACAGACTCAGTTTATATCACAATACCTACATTTAGAGTCAGGTTTTTTTGGACATATTTATTTTTATTTTGTGTAATTCAGGTTTTTCAGAATAAACGTCTTAGTGCTTCAGCTTTAGTGCCGCTAGCCAAGTTAGGCCTACACTGCTAGCTACTGCACCACCATATTCTTTATTTGAGCCAGTGTTTATGTTCATCCCCCAATCAGTGTAGCCGAGACATTTAGCTGAAGCTGGTGACCGTTTGTAGGTGGAGCATGGATACTGCTCAGAGAGAGTCTGCCCACAACGCCCTCTAGTGGAACAATTAGTCAACTAGTAGTTGATTAGCCTACACTCTTTAACAAATAGTTCTTGAAGGGTTTTTCAGTAAAGACAACGGTTCTGTATAAACCCAATAACACTCAAGAAAACATCTGCATGCTTACATGGTTCTTTGCAATGGTGAAATATATGTATATTGTTCTTTATAGCACCAAAAAGGGTTCTTCTATTTGTTATAATGTCAAGTTTGTAATTATGGAAGAACCCTTTTTGGTGCTATATGTAACCCTTTTCAAAAACTGTCCATCTACAGCACGTTCTCCATCAACCTGAAGAACCATTTTACAACGCAAAGAACACTTTAATCATGCAAAGGGTTCTTTGAGTGTTCATGGTTCTACATAGAACCATTGTCTTTACTAAAGAACCCTTGAAGAACCATCTTTTTAAAGAGTGCACACCACTCCTATTGCCTTTATGTATACATGTACGCGTGTGTGTGTGTTACCCGCGTATAGACAGCACTTCACAGCGCTGTGCCAGACTGATGATATCTGGGATGATGTTCTCCTCCTGCAGGAGATTCACCCCCCAGTTAGAGCTGCCGATGTTCCCCTACAAAACACACATTTCCACACATTAACACACTGTTAAAACCTTGACTGCAGACATTTACATGGAACATATGAGCCCAACAAAGACGCCAAGCTTTTACCTTCT